TGTATTTTTTAAAAATCTTTTTTTCCTTCTAATTTGTTATTATTTGCATTGCTTTTAAAATCGTTCTGTGTGACACGAAAACAATTGCGAAATCGTGTTGGTGAACACAAATGAATAGATTAATTTCGTAACTATAACACAAAATGCCGTGAGACTGTGTTGCTACCTTCACATTGAGGCTAACATGTTTGTCATGTACACTTCCTTGAGTTAGCATGCTAACTCAGCCATGCCACCTGCAACGTTAAATACTCACACCGCTCTTCATATTGAAGGTGCGTTTTGTTAAGGGTCAAGGCTTGTATTGGTCATCATGCGTACATAGCTACAGTGTAGTTATGACAATGAAAATATTAGGTCCCAGGCTCCTCCAACAATAAAACTGAAAAAATAGTGCAAGTAAATACAAAAAGAAAAATAGTAAAATTGTGCAATAAGAGTCTATATACAAGTGATTGAAATATGATATGTTAGATAAATAATTTCTAAGTAGCGGCCAGATGAATGTTATGGATGTTCTTTGCAGAGTTCAGGTGTTTAATAGTCTTATTGCCTGTGGGATGAAACTGTCCCTGAGTCTGGTGGTTTTAGTCCTGATGCTGCGGTACCGCCTGCCAGACGGCAGCAGACTGAACAGTTTGTGGCTGGTGTGATGGGGGTCTTTGATAATCCTGAGGGCTTTCTTCCTGAGCCGCTGGGAGTAGAGGTCCTCCATGGATGGCAGCTCTGTCCTGGTGATGTGCTGTGCAGTTTTCACCACCCTCTGTAAAGCCTTACGATTGAGGGCGGTGCAGCTGCCGTACCAGGCTGTAATGCAGCCAGTCAGGATCCTCTCTATGGTGCACCTGTAGAAGGTCAGGATCCTCTCTATGGTGCACCTGTAGAAGGTCAGGATGCTCTCTATGGTGCACCTGTAGAAGGTCAGGATGCTCTCTATGGTGCACCTGTAGAAGGTCAGGATGCTCTCTATGGTGCACCTGTAGAAGGTCAGGATCCTCTCTATGGTGCACCTGTAGAAGGTCAGGATGCTCTCTATGGTGCACCTGTAGAAGGTCAGGATCCTCTCTATGGTGCACCTGTAGAAGGTCAGGATGCTCTCTATGGTGCACCTGTAGAAGGTCAGGATGCTCTCTATGGTGCACCTGTAGAGGGTCAGGATGCTCTCTATGGTGCACCTGTAGAAGGTCAGGATCCTCTCTATGGTGCACCTGTAGAAGGTCAGGATGCTCTCTATGGTGCACCTGAAGAAGGTCAGGATCCTCTCTATGATGCACCTGAAGAAGGTCAGGATCCTCTCTGATGCACCTGTAGAAGGTCAGGATGCTCTCTATGGTGCACCTGTAGAAGGTCAGGATCCTCTCTATGGTGCACCTGTAGAAGGTCAGGGTCCTCTCTATGGTGCACCTGTAGAAGGTCAGGATCCTCTCTATGGTGCACCTGTAGAAGGTCAGGATCCTCTCTATGGTGCACCTGTAGAAGGTCAGGATCCTCTCTATGGTGCACCTGTAGAAGGTCAGGATCCTCTATGGTGCACCTGTAGAAGGTCAGGATCCTCTCTATGGTGCACCTGTAGAAGGTCAGGATGCTCTCTATGGTGCACCTGTAGAAGGTCAGGATCCTCTCTATGGAGCACCTGTAGAAGGTCAGGATGCTCTCTATGGTGCACCACCTGTAGACGTTGCAGAGTATTCTGGAGTCCATGTTGAACCTCCTCAGCCTGTGGAGGAAGAGCAGCCGCTGTTGAGCTGTTTTGGTGATGGTGGTGGTGTGAAGAGTCCTCAGGTCCTCAGTGATGAGTCCATGTCAGGTCCTCAGTGATGAGTCCATGTCAGGTCCTCAGTGAAGAGTCCATGTCAGGTCCTCAGTGAAGAGTCCATGTCAGGTCCTCAGTGAAGAGTCCACGTCAGGTCCTCAGTGATGAGTCCATGTCAGGTCCTCAGTGATGAGTCCATGTCAGGTCCTCAGTGATGAGTCCACGTCAGGTCCTCAGTGAAGAGTCCATGTCAGGTCCTCAGTGATGAGTCCATGTCAGGTCCTCAGTGAAGAGTCCACGTCAGGTCCTCAGTGATGAGTCCACGTCAGGTCCTCAGTGATGAGTCCACGTCAGGTCCTCAGTGATGAGTCCACGTCAGGTCCTCAGTGAAGAGTCCATGTCAGGTCCTCAGTGATGAGTCCATGTCAGGTCCTCAGTGATGAGTCCACGTCAGGTCCTCAGTGAAGAGTCCATGTCAGGTCCTCAGTGATGAGTCCATGTCAGGTCCTCAGTGAAGAGTCCACGTCAGGTCCTCAGTGATGAGTCCACGTCAGGTCCTCAGTGATGAGTCCACGTCAGGTCCTCAGTGATGAGTCCACGTCAGGTCCTCAGTGAAGAGTCCATGTCAGGTCCTCAGTGATGAGTCACATGTCAGGTCCTCAGTGATGAGTCCACGTCAGGTCCTCAGTGATGAGTCCATGTCAGGTCCTCAGTGATGAGTCCATATCAGGTCCTCACGGATGTGGACCCCGAGGAACCTGAAGCTGCTGACTCTCTCCACCGTAGTCCCATTGATGGCGATGTGTCCCTCTCTCTGCTGCTTCCTGTAATCCACAATCAGCTCCTTGGTTTTGCTGACGTTGAGATGGAGGTTGTTATCCTGTCACCAAGATGTTTCATCGCCGTCGGTGATCAGGCCGATGACGGTCGTGTTAACTTGACGCACATAATTTTACTTTTGAAAATATAAACTGTACAAAATGCAGATTTAAAGATTCTAAAACTGGACACATTTGAGGATTCAGTTTTTTATTTAAAGTAAATTAGTTTCAATCTATTGCATATGTTATAATGTAGACATAAACAAAGAAAGTGTTCAGTTCAGTATAATAGTGATTTTATTGTCATTCTTTACATGAACAACATGCTTCAAACATTATTTAACCAACAAATCATTGTGTTTTTATTAAATAACTAGTTGAACATTTTAATGCAAGGAAAAAGGTTTGGTCTATATTTATTATAGAAGTAGATTATGTTTTCGTTTTGTCGGCAGGATAATATAAAAACTACTGGCTTGATTTCCATTCAACTTGGTAAAAGGGTGTAGCGTGGGCCAAGGAAGAACAGATTTGATTTGAGGCATTAGCACATGATGTTTTATTCTCTGAGTAAAGAGGGCCCTTTAGTAATACATGTTGATGGACTAACAGGCTAAAACAGTTTGCAGTTCAGTAGCTCCGCTAGCAGAAATTCAGAGGGAACACTTGTTTGACAGAGTGATCCTCAAAGGTAGAATTAACATTTTAAATGATTGTAGTTATTTTAGACACTATGCTCAATGGATAATGACACTTCAAATATCTCATTGCAAATAGGTCATGCCACTTTGAGCATTAGGGTGTAAGGAGAAGTATGGCTTTTGAGTGACCTCTACATGAGTCACTTTTTACTGAATCAGAAATGTTCACATAGGAAGTATCACAAACATTTAGTCATAAAGACAGGGGCATCCTTGAACTCTGTGGGCAGCTTGGATGCTCACACAACAAGTAAAGGCACTAAAGAAGCTTTCATAAAAGGTACAGGTTTGGATTTGGGTCTCAGAGTGATCCGTCTAAGTTCTTCCGAGAGCAACACTGACTCAGTGATTACATCACTGCCTTCAGCCAACTCAAGGACGCACAAAATCAATGCTCTTGATGCAAATGCACAGTGGGAATTAACTTTAAAGCTAATAACATTAAGCTGGGAGCGCTGCGATGTCGGCCCACATTGTAATGTTATGTAAATCTGACCATATGACAGCTTCATTTAAATGGGGGTGTGCCAGATTATGCACAATATTGGCCCAATTTGCTCCCTCGTGCTCATCCCTGCAACCCGGTAAATAGCTTAGCCACTCATTCTAATAAAAAGACAAACAAATAAATAAAAACATTCAACAAATTTAGAAGCAGGGCCCTGGAGACTCAACGCTGGAATTGTATGCAGAGGAAGAAATTGGAGAGTACGCAATGTTGGCTAGAGGGCCCATCACTCAATTTGTTGGTAAACACCAGATTTATGTTCAGTAAGTCCTCGGCTAAACTGCTGAAGGGCTCCTCTCTCCCTGTGTGCCTCACACACACGCGCACACACAATCGCCTCCAGCAGATTTTTGAAAAAATGACTAGGAAATCTTGATGTTGCTTAGCAGAGTACTAGGGTGTGAGAATACGCTGTACTCTGAGGATCAGCCACTGTATCTACTGTAAGCATCATGTCGGCCATAGTTAAATATTTGTGTTTGATTTTGAATTCCATCCAACAGCGCTGGTGCTGATTGTTTTTTCCGACAAACAAAAGTGTTCCTTGTTTTCCACAGACATTACTTTGCCCGCTATAACATTTCAGAAGGCTGTTTTAATGTAGCAATCTGCAGGGGAGAAAATGCTCAGTGACTTACTGCTGATATGCAGCACACAAGTAAAGATGATTAAGTCAGTTTGGAAGGCAACAGTAGGAAGAAAAACGTGCAGGTCTTTAAATGATTTAACAACTCTCATCAGGCTGATCCCAGCAGTAAGCATACTTGAGTGCATTTGCTGAACATGGCCACAAGAAGAGGAGAGTGCACACTGTGTCTGTGTAATTAAAGCGTCGTCCCAGAGCGGTGTAGGATTTCTATTAAGCCGGTGATTCTCCTGTATAAAGTGTTTGGGGAGCCGCAGCCTGACAGGGTAATGAATGGAGGTGTGTGAGCGCGGGGCGTTCACTGCCACGGAAGGGCTTTTAAATGACTGTTGAAGAGAGGGAAGCAGCCCTGGGTTACTTGTTGGGAATAAATACCTGGAGGTCACATCGAGGTTTCAGGGAAGCACGAGGGGAAGTTAGAGAGAAGGAGGCCGATTACCTTGGCATTTCTGTAACTTGATGCACATCAAGTTACAGAAATGAACCAGCCGCAAGGGGGGGGGGGGGGGGGGGGGGGGGCTGGACACATACAGATACTGCAAAAGACAGACAAAGTACATAGAGACATGACGCTACTGCAAATGTTTTATTGAAGAAAGAAAAAAGAAACACCAGTTGACTACAGGCCCCTTCCAATGACCCCCAACAGATGCTTCACCAACACCACAGGGTCCAGCTTCTCATTCAGACTCTGCTGCTGCAGCCTCACACCGCGGCTGAAACATCTTCAACTTCGGTAAAGAGTCATGGCACCATCTTTGAGGGAGGCAACACAGCAACAGTATGGTGACTGTACTGCACAGACACGGGCAGAAACAAAGACAGTAGACCACCCAAATACATCAAACTAAACCAAAAGAACCAGTACGGTCTTTATACTTCTTTAAGTCAGATGTGTTCACAGACTGTCCATAATAATATACTGTAGCAACAGGAGAGTTTAAAACAGCTTTTATGGCCCATGAGGTTTAACTCTGTGAACGAGTACACTTTGTACAAACATGCTAATAAGCCAATAATAAAATATATAACAATACAAAAAAGTCTAAAACACAAGAGAGTGCTGCCCCCTATAGTTTCCCAGCTAGCTGTTAACAGCCTGCCTGCCGTGATAATTCTCCGTGGGTTTGTCCTGATGAGTGACATACATTTCCATCACACATTTGAGTGTGCGGCTTTAGAACAGCGTCACATCCTTTACCAAGCCGCAGCTCTTTCATCTGGACTTTAACACAGCACAGGCTGTTGTTAGCATGTGCTGCTAACAACACTTCTGATTGGTCCAACGTTAAATAAGAATTGTATATAAGCACTACTGCATGGCTTTTGTTCAGCTTTTGTTCACCTGAATGTTTAGTCACTCTGACATCTTTATTGTGACACACCTAACCCTGTGTGATTACCCCAGCCCGTCAGGAGGGGCGCGGTCAATGCTAACTGAGCCCTCCCTGAGTGCTGAAAACCAACAAACAAATGTGACATCATGTTATAAAGAGGGTCTTCTTCACCTTTGTTGCCTAACAACCAGTCCCCATCATATGGCTTACTGAGTCAGCTGCCAAACAGCCCACCTCATGGCTCTGTACCTGAACAAAAAACCTTGAAAAAAGTGTTTTCTGTACTAGAGAATATTGTTGTCCCCAAACTAATTATAGTAATCTATTTTAATAACTAGTTATATGAAATAAAAGGTGTTAGATATGACAGAACATGGTGTTCCCAGCTGGATTTGATATTTATAACAAGCCTTTAAGATCCATTACAATGCACTGGTGAGTTGCAGTGAGTTCAGTTCGCCCACCCTTGGATGGGGAAACAGTGTTTTCATCCTCATGTAGAAGATGTGTCCTGGCAAAGGTCTGATGAATGTTTATTTATGAATTATTTATATTATTGGGCTTATTAGCAAAGTTATGCACAGAGTGTAACCGTGGGTAAAACATGGCTCACAAAGCTTTGTAACCAGAGTAACGGATTACAGTACACACACATGTTGGTATATCTGCTATCCTAATGGCACTAAACAGAGAACACGACAACACGTCTGTTATCGGGGCTGAGGAACACTGAGAGCAACAGCAGACCTTAATGCTACTCAGACTGTGTTGTTGAAAGGCACCCTGTGGAGTTTTCCTGTAAACACCCAAATGCAAACAAAATGAATGAATTTCCTTTGTAAATAAACATTTGCAGAGTCGACTGTTTGCACACTTTATATTGTTGTGACTATGAGTCTTTTTTTTGCCCGCTTGCGTCTGTACTAAGCGATACACAGTCACTTCCTGCAGAGGATCTCAGAGCTGCACATTATGTTGTTCTTCATCGGTTATTGTGTCACTCATTGTTAAAATGAGACTGCACTCGGCCAGGCCTTCGCTCAATGAGAACCCAATCATGAACACATGGTTCCACAGCTAGCGGTGAAAACTCCACAGGGTTCCTTTAACTCACAAACATCACATTGCTCTAGTAATTACAAAAGTAACTATCAAATCAAACGGTGAATCTGCTGGTCAAACGACTGGATGGTCCCTTCTTCGCCCATTACCTTTCCACACACTAAATCTAAAAGACAAGTGTCACTGGTACGACAACACTGACACACAGCACAGTGACACAAAGTCACGCAGTACCCACGGCATGGTTTCTATTAAAGCATCATTATAAGGACACTTGTGCTTTCATCTGTACAGGTAAAATATGTCCTTATTCATAAAATGTCTTATAAAGTGTCGATGCAATTAACATCAAAAATTGCATAGCCATTCCTAATCTGTTATTTCTATCAGACTTACAAAACAATCACTAATGTAATCTAATCATTCTCTGCTCAAAAACCATATCATACAACTCAGATAATAGGCCCTTTCTATTTGAATGGAATGCCATGATTGTACTGTTCAGGCCAACAGAAAATAAAACATAACAGCAAGTTCAATTAGAAAGTAAAAGATGTATGTTTGTTAAAAAGGGAATGGCACTCAGCAGCTGCCTACTGAGGGTTTGTCTTTGACACTCACACTTCTATTGAGGATGACTGTGGTCCCGTTATGTGTCAAATAGTTGCACACAGAATATGTACACAGTGAATACGGCAGTTTAGATTCTTTGGTGTTCAGTCAAGTGTTTTGAAGTAATAAGCTCCTGTGATAATATGTTCCCTATTAGAGTACCGTATGTCTGTGTGACAAACACTACAATGAGAAAAGTGCTCTGACCAACAAACGGGTTTCCTAAATACTGATAAAGCTACAGCCATACACATATCTGCACCTGTCGTCCACATGTTGGAGTCAGACTCCCTTCAGATCCAAAGAACCCATTGGCAGGACATTTAAATACATACGACAAGCTGGAGGATTATGATACGAGATAATAACACGGAGTGAAGATATATTGTTTTACTGTTAACTGCTTCGTTTAAAGATTTGAGATTTTGGGAAATATTCGTTTTTTCTTTTGAGAGTCAGAACAGAAGATTGAAGTCGCTTTTTGATATGCACGCTCAGCACATGTGGACATATTAAACTGAGCTTAGCATAACGAGTGGAACCAGTGCACCAGGGGAACAGAGTTTTGGTGAGTAAAAACATTTTTAAGGAACTTAAAAAGTGCATTTTTATTTCACCTGTTCTTACGTCATAAACACAGAAGAGATAAATATCTAGATCTGAATAGGATTTTTCTTTGGCAGCAGGCTATCTGTATCATGGTTTTATTCTTGTCTGAACGCCTGCTGTATATGGTATAAAACACAGTGACATCAGATCAAAACCATTTCCCAAAATCTCGAACCACTCCTTAACACAGTTAAACATCTCACAGCCTCTCCTGCTGTGATGTACCGAGTCAATGGATACATGTGATGCTATGTACTGAGAGTGTGTGTGTGTGCTGAGGAATGCAGGCTTCTGTGGATGGGTACGTTTGTGAGAGAGCGAGCGGTGTGTGTTATCACAGGGGGGGTGTTCAGAGGTCGGTGGTGGCCTTGGCGGTCAGGTCCTGGATGCGGCTGCTGTTACAGTTCTTGCAGAGGACGTGTCCGTCCAGAGGGTAGCAGCCCTGGTTGTCCCCCTCTGACAGCAGAGAGCCACAGTCCTGCAGGACACACACACACACACACACACACACACACACACACACACACACACACACACACACACACACACACACACACACACACACACACACACACACACACACACACACACACACATTACAGAGTCATTATGCACGCTCACAGCTGAGACACAGTCCCTCTCTCTGTGCTCACCCCCTGCGTTTAAACCTTTATATATACAGTCTATGGTTTAAACCCAGCCAGTGTGTTTCAGGAGGCTCTCTGTGAGGCGGGACCAGAGTTCAGTTTCTACCAGCTGCTGATTCTCAAATAGAACTAACGAAAGTTATGAAATAGACGATATAAATATATGATAAATAATCTCTGAGATTAAAAAGTTATAAATTCACAGGGAAAAAACAGAAGGAACCACGTCGCTTAAATGTTCAAGGTTGTTATCAAATATCACAGACAGACCTGTGGAGGTGACTGTCTGCTGATGGTTACCTGGCAGAGCCCACAGAAGCTTCAGAGATGAGAGAAGGGGAAATGTTTCTCTGCTAAAGCAGCTTTTTACATCATCCTTACTCGATGGCTGTGTGCACACGCACACACACACACACACGCACACACACACACACACACACACACACACTGAGAATTACAAATGCATCTACTCATGTCTCCGTGGTGACGAGATGCTTCTGTTGGTGCTGAACTAATCTGCTCTGCTTTCCTTTGACCTTTGTGTCTGCCAGGCTCTGTACACACACGGCTCTTTGACAACGTGACACGTTACTTCTCTTTTCGCCAGCACGTCGTGTCGCAGCGCCGCTTATCAGCCAGCGCGGCTGACAGAGTGCTTACTGTGAGAGCCTGAACTCTGCAGAGGAGAGATGGAGGGAGGGTTCAGACCTGGCTGCAAAGGTGACCCGGGAGACGAGCACGATATGCATCCAGACCATAATGACTGTGGACTACAGAGCTCACACAGAGCTCACACACAGAACACACCTCGCAGCGGTAACACTGCACGTGGAAGTCTCGGTCCAGGGCCACGATCCGGACGGTCTCCTCCTGGCCCGGCGCCGGCATGATGGGCTCAGAGCACACACAGCAGCGCGGAGCAAACTTCCTGCAACACACAAGCAGGAAGAACAGGAATGAGCTCACAAATGTCATTTATAATAACTTATCATATTGATGCTGTTTGAGTCTGTGCACACAGCTAACGATGCTTTTATTATTGATTAGTCAGCCTTGTGACCCCTAGAAGTATGGTACCACTGGCCGACCAATGGGGCAAAGCAGGGTCTCAGTTCTTCACACCAGAGTAGACATAGCAAAATGATTCAGACCAATATTGCCCACACATGATTAAAGAGGTTTTCAAACAGCCTGTGCATGTTCCTGTGTTTCATTGTGCATGCACTTCCCCACTAGAGGCTAAACTGTCTCTGAAACGCTGCATATAAATGGTGTATTTGAGGAAAAGCTAAACATAGTAGGACCTTTAGAAATACCAGAAGTGACTTTGAAATGAGTATGTGTGGGAATGCCTTCAGCAGGAAGAGGTGTGTCTAACTATAGGATCAGAGAGGATATGAAAGCAGGCTCAGACCTCAGGTCAGCTGACTGACGGCTGTGGACTCTACCTGAGACATTGACTGCATGCTGGGAATCAGGAAGTGAAGGAGCTTTGAGAAACCACAGTACAGTATTCTCAGAGCGAGATTATTCCTCGACACAAAGAGGCGCGCGGCTCCGGTCACACCTGTCATGTGGAATTAAACGACGGCCCAGTGCAGCTCCTCTAAAGCGAAAAGCTGAGCACTCACACCAAGAGCCCGCTGTTTACTTCTGTTTCCCTTCTGGTCACTGACTAAAGCAACATTTCTGGGAAGGTTAGGGTTATGCAATGGGTGGAGACACAATGACAGGAACTTACTATTACATTCATGTTAGCCACGTCTCATAAGGTCATTGTGCTTGTGGCATTGCTGGCAATATTTCCCTGAAAAGAAAGCCCCATGATGTGATATCTAACTGAATGTGTCAGTCAGTAAATGATTTCAAAGCATTAGTTGATTTGGAATTGAGTTCTTAAGTAAAAGCATTCTTGTTGATATTTGTTGTTGTTGTACTTTTTAGTGCTGCATTTGATATTGAGGTTATCCAAAGGTCATGGAAATGTATCAGGTTACATTACTTTAGATTGTGATACTTAGGTTCAAACACACATCATATTTTATTGTAATGATTAGATTAGAGTTATTGTCCCCTGGGGGAAATTCATTTTCACAGCACTGTACACATACACAATAAATATACAATATATAAACAACAACAATAACACAGACAGCGCCACACTATATATAAATACATATTCAAAGGAACCCTCCAAACCAGTATTTTTGTTCTAAATGTGTTGGACTGGTAGGGTACAGACTAATTATCTTTTCCTGTCAACATGTATATATTTAACTTTTTAGTTTAGTATTTTTTTCTGTTTGGAGATGTTTATACTTTAAGTTTGTTTACTTTCTACTCTTCATATTTTCACATTTTGTGCAATGCCTTGTTTTAACATGCTGATGTGACATCAAAACGGGCCAATGTGGGATACATGGAGTACATCTTATCTAATCTGAACTACGTACTTGTGGAAGTCCTCGATGCAGTGGATGTGGTTGGAGGCGTCCACGGTGAAGGGCACTCCGTCCAGGCTGCGGCTGCACACCACGCAGGTGAAGCAGTGGGGGTGGTACGCCTTCCCCGTGGCCCGCAGGATGCGCTCCATGATGGGCTTACTGCAGATGGTGCAGGTCTCAAGGGTGTTCTGCGCGCGCACACACACACACACACACACACACACACACACACACACACACACACACACACACACACACACACACACACACACACACACACACACACACACACACACACACACACACACACACACACACACACACACACACACACACACACACACACACACACACACACACACACACACACACACACACACACACACACACACACACATATCTCATGATGAATGAATCACTTACAATGAGCACTTGTCTGCTAATAGAGTTGAACCAGCACAATATCTGAAGACATTTTTTTCTGCATTTCCTGAAGTGTTGTGCCTTTGAACTTCCTGTTGCCAGTGTTTCACTTCAGGGGGCACAGCTACCATTCTCTCCCATGCTACATATAAATCCACGCCCAGGACCTTTGGCTCTGCTGTCCTCGAATACCTCTGTATCTGAAGGAATCTGATTAGCACTCCTCTGGAAACACAAACACGCTCATTTCTCATTGGCCCTCGCCCACACTTCATCCTCCCATATGCAAGAATGAGAGCAGTAAATATTTCCACTTTGTGATGACTGCAGGTTTTTTGCAGCCAGGCGACTGGGCAAGCGGCCTGGGGGGAGGGGGGGGACGTGGTGGCCGCCTGCCTCTGACTTATCTGTGGCATCTCTCTTCCTTATATCTGCCGGGAGACGCCGTTTGTTATTTCAATATTTCATAAATAACGACCGCCTCTCTAAACAGCAATGCAATTACTGGGGATGGATATATCATGTGAGGGTGATCAATGTGCGGCCTGAGAGAGCTGATGGGCCTCGCTGCCTCTCGCTCAGGCATTTCCTGGATCTCTGTGTCTCTCTGCCCCCGCCCCCCTCTCTGCGCTTGGCTGGGCTAAACAGTGCACGGTTCAGCTGCTCCATTGGTAGCAGAGCTGCTCAGTGTTTCCAAACACAGCTCGGGGTGTGTAGCAACACTGCGCTGCGTCATCGGCTGCCTCCAGAGTTTCAGATGACACTTGTGTGACCGCTCGGCTGAGGTGAACCCCCCCAGTCTGGCTGCCGAGCACGTGCACTGACATTTATAGTCGCTATGCTAATGAGCACAGCAGCTTTACAGGACGGGGTTCAGTGTCCCTGACATACCTCCATGTGTTGACTCCTCACAGCACTGATCCTGGGTCAGGCTAAGAGGGCATCTTGAGACAGGCTGATGTATGACTCTAGGCTGTAGAAAAAGGTGGTTTGAAAAATGGCCGTTTCTTCAAAGCACTCCTGGAGAGGCATTATTTCCTGAAAAGCTATTTGTGCAGACAAGCTCTGCATTCTGATTCCTCTCTCTCTTTTTCTCCCCTCCAAGAAGGTAATAGAAATAAACATTATTCCCAGGGCAACATTTGTGTATAAACAATGTCCATATTGCAATCCTGCTTGATCCTGGAAGTGGAATGAAGCTTTTAATGAGCTCGCTGCACTAAGCCCCAGAGGCTTGCCACACCGCCACACCCCACACACACCCCACACACACACACACACACACACACACACACACACACACACACACACACACACACACACCACACACACACACACACACACCACACACACACACACACACACACACACACACACACACACACACACACACACACACACACACACACCACACACACACACACACACACACAGAGAGAGAGAGAGGTAGAGAGAGAGAATATGAGACGTGAGAATGAGAGTGGGGTACCGGCCCAAACAGCACTAAACCGTCCTCAACTCTTCCTCATCTGTCTACAATCCCACTTCCTTATTCTCATCTGCCCTTCATGTGGGAATACCTTGCCCTTGTTTAGCTTAACTAGAGCATATGATTTCACAGCACACAGTTCCTCCGGGCCATTGTAATGAGTACAGTGCTCAAACGACAAAATCCCTCTCTTTTTCTCCGATGGTAAGATTCTATGACCTCAATTCATTCATTCTGCTCAGCTTCTATTGTGTTTGTATTCAATCGTGACTGCTTTTATTTGGTGTAAGCGAACATTTAGCATGCCTGTTACACAAATCTAGTTTCAAAACAAAAAATGTACACGTCTTCTGGTCTGTGTTTGGGTCCGACCTCCACAGATGGTTCAGGATATTCTGCATGAATCACTTCATGCCCTTTCTGTCAGACACCCAGGTCCTCTGCAGTTTGCCACTAGAGGGCTGTATATGTCTGCGGATGTCCGGGTTTTGCTTCTCCCCTGACTAAATGTGATGTATTCAAGCATATGTACCCCCCCACCCCCTCTGCCTCATACATTTCTCTAAGTGTTTGCCCAGAAGGCTAAACAAATGTCTAGGCAGATGAGGTAAAAGTGAATCTGGGTCAGACAGCCTCTTGCTGACCTGAGGGGTGAGTAGATTGCGTTAAAGTCAATTGTGGCCCCCTTTCTTCAAAGAAAGTGATATGATGATCTCACAAAGAGTCCGGCACAGCTCCCCACTATTTAGCAACAAGCTTGCTGTCAGAGGGCTGAGTGTGTTGGCAAACAGAGCATGTGGGGGGGGGGGGGGGGGGTCCCCATGTGCGGGAGACACCGGCCTGACAGCGTGAGACAGAGGAAAACCTCTCACATCACTAACTCTCATTCTGACTCTTGTATTAAAAAAATGTCAATGGAGTGAGATTATTTAATGTCTGTTTTCCATCCACTTGAATTCATTTGTTATTTCATTAGATCAAATGACACTGCCTTAGAGTAACTTTCATTTTAAACAAGTTAAGTACAACTAAAAACCAGTAAAAGATATTACTGAGAATGTCTATTCTATTCTATAGTATTTTAACACACACCCATTAGTTGACTAAATGACATGAGATAAGAATAAGGCCGGCAGCTTTCCATTTGACGATCATTTCCTTCATTAATTGATTATTCTCACAGTCTGTAAATGATATGCAGTTTCCTGTGTTCCCAGGACAGACATTACACGGTAGCTAATGCAGGAAGAAACAGCGATACAACACGTCCACATTTATACTAACCAGTGAGATACACAACATGAAGTAAGAAACACAACATGAAGTAAGATACACACAGGCACGTTGAGTCGCTTCCCACTTGACGATTAAAACAAGCTTGAAAACCATATAGCAAATAAAGAATGCCCAATGAGGCCAGCTCATTTTAAGTTGAATAAACAATAAGTCAGTCTCAAGTGATTTTTTAAATTGCTTGGTATTGCTGGTAGGTTGCATTGTAATGATGTTTCATGCAACTTGTAACCTTTCACAAGGCAAAGCCAAACACATTAGTCATATCAAAAACAATACATGCAAACTCCTCATTATTATTAATGATATTTCATATTTTTGCAGTCTACACTATAATGTCAAATGTTTAAGTTTATAATATACATACATTCATCCCTGGTTCACACATAATAGGGTCCAGGATTCATCCCCAATATTTAAAAGATTCCAGAGGATTCAGCTACAGGTGCAACAAAGCTGGAACAAAGACTACTGTCCGTGTTTTCAGATGAAACAGTTGGGAATCTGCTGTGGCATATTGTTAAGTTTAAGCTGTTTACCATCTCTTCGGACCGTATCAACACACATTTCACACCTATCTGCTCTTTTTGTCTTCACATGGCAAAGTGGAGCTGACAGGAGGGAGGCAGGAGTTCAGAGGGACCGCACGCGATTTATGACCTGGCCGCCGGAGCGGGCCAAATGTACAGATGATCTGATTCAGTGTGTGTGTGTGTGTGAGAACGTGCTGGTCAGTGCCAGGCCATGCTGTGTGGATTAACTCCACACTACTGATGGCAGCCCGGTGATTTCTAACAAAGCGGGTTCAGAGGGAAGGCCCGCTCGCTGCTGCTGCGTTTCGTTTCTCTGGACAGGAACACACACTGTGGAGAGTCAAATCACTGCCTGCTTCCTGAGGGAAGGAGTCTGCTGACCTATTGAACCTTGACAAGCAGCATGTCTCCTTTTATCGCTTAATATGTCTCATTCAAGCAAGACAACAGAAATAATGTTGCCAACAAATATATAACTAGAAGGGCACTGAGAGCGCAGAGCGCCACCAAGCATATGGGGAAATAATAAGCACATCCGCCCTGTGTTTTGAATCTGCTTCAAAGCGTAATGAGTTCTTCCTTGGTGCTCCATGTGACCAAGTATTAGGAAGAAACAGACCAACAGCTTTTTACATACTTAACAAACCAACCAACAAACTAACAAAGAAAACAGGAGCTCAATCTGTTCTTAAGGAGTGTATCTCTCAACAGGAAGTACTATCGGACACTCACATCAGGAAGAAGTAATGAATAATGGACATGAAGAAATTGTGACTCATAGGCAGTGTTGGGACTAACGCGTTACAAAGTAATGCGTTTTTTTATATAGTCAACAGCCAGGCGAACAGAGATGAGAACTGTACTTAAGTACTTGAGTAAATGTACTTTGATACTTCCTGTTTCACATGCGGAGACGGGCTGTGGGCGTGTTTGTGTTGTTTACTAACAAGACTATCATGGCGGCGGCGGAGCTCAAGTCTAGTTTCTCCACCTGGAGATATTCTCACTATTTCACTTTTGTCGAGCACAAAGAAAATAACGTTTTAGTTAAATGTAAGTTGTGTCCTGGCGGGTCAAAGATCCTATCTACTGCCCAAATCAGTAATTCAAATATCTTAAAACATCTGCAAAAACAACATGCTGGGACGAAGCTAGTAGCTAAGACCACAGAGACTCAGCCGACGCCACTCCACCTCCACCTAAGCAACAGCGGCTGGATTTTAACCAAGGGACTGCTAGCCAGGGAAAAGTCGATAAAGCCATTGCACAGTATGTTGTAGAACACATGCAGGCTATTGCTACAGTGGAGTCACCCGCTTTCAGGGAGCTAGTTAGCATGATAGCATGTCCGGGCGGCACACAGCATATAGGACGGAAAACTTTTTCCAACTACCTGGAGAAAGAATATACAAAAATGGAAAGCCAGCTAATATCGATGCAATCCAGATTG